CCTGTTGATCTTCTTTGCCAATGCTTGCTACTTTAGCCAAGCCTTTTACTACTCGTTTTCTCGCGACTTTTGGAGACTTATTAAAGCAGTTGCTGAAGTTGTAATGACTAGGAAACTGCTCAAATCCCCACGAAACTGACTCTAGTGACACACAACCATGCAAGTTCAAGAGTTTCAGGCTTTGCGGAAGCTCTGGAAGCGTTACGAGATTTCTACAATGTCGTAATCTAAGGCTATGTAGTTTAGATAGCTGCTTTATGCTTTCAGGGATTTCTCTGAAATCATTCCAACCAAGATTCAACACTGTTAATGAAGGTAATAAGCAAATCTCTTCAGGTATATGCATCAAGGATGCATTGCAGAGTGACAAAGATACTAAAGCATAAAATCTTGGAAGCAAGTCACGTAAACTCGAATATAGAAGCGTTGGTCGAGGCGTATATTTTTGACGCTGATCTGCATTCTCATTAAACGTCAAGAGAAGATGATTCAAATTGCTCTCTGTTGTAGCATTCTTGATGATTGGTGTTGATACTTCTCTTGTGGACATCCCAGGTGGATCTGATAGCTTTAATGTGACAAGAGATTTTAAGTTACTAATCTCCACCGGAAGATTTCGAAGCCTTTTGCAATTCTGCAAATCTAATACTACAAGTTGGGAGAGATGCTTGATTGATGATGGTACTTCTTGTATAGCGGTGCCAGCAAGATATAACTCTTTCAAGTTTCTTGGGATATAATGAATATCCTCAAGCTCTGAGCATCCAGAGAGATTAAGCACCGCAAGAGAATTCAAATTACATATTCCCATTGGTAGTTGTTGAAGGCTTTTGCAGTTCTCCAAGTCTAATTCAACAAGCTCAGAGAGATGCACAAGCGAATACAGTTCTTGTATGGCGGTGCCACCAAGATACAGCTTTCTCAAGCTTTTTGGGATAACCTGAATATCCTCAAGCTCCAAGCAGTGAGACATATCAAGAACTTTGAGGTGTTCTAAATAAACCATGACTGATAGACTTCGCGAATCAGAGGAGCTCTCCCGATCCAAGAATTTGTAATCTCCTCCATGATCATAAATGAATGAGTTATCTTGTGGAGAGATGGTCACGGTTGGTATTGGTCTTATCCCAGTTTGTTTGAGATACAACTCCTCAATATTAGGTGGAACCTCTGGAAAACTTCTGATCTTTGTGCAACCAGAGAGATTTATCACCCGGAGATGCTGGAAATGACGTGTGGATGGAAATCTCTCTAGTTTTGTACAGCCTTGGAGATCAATTACTTCAATGTTTGGAGCATTTTGAAGTTCGTCAATATCAACTAGCTGCTTTGAATGACAAAGCTTGATTCTCTTCAGCATCTTCAGATTCTAGAAAAGAAAATTTTGCTAAGTAAACAACAACAGAGCCACTATCGTAAATGGTATGTGAAAACTTTTCTTACCTTGGTTCCTTCCCAGAGTTTCTGAAGTTTACTGGAACACATGTTTAGTATAACAAGATTCCTAGTATCAAAATCTTGTGGTAAGGATAACAATGGAAAATTTTCCCAGTGTAGTAACCGTAATTCATATGGTAGAGACTTAAGGCCCTTAGGAAGGTGTAGTGACGAATGGTTTCCAAGATTTGAACTGCAAATCTTCAGATATCTAAGATTGTACATATTCTCAAATGTCATAGGATTGACATCAAAGCTTAAGCCAGAGGGGTCCAGAAATATGGCTTCGATATCTTCACTGCCCTGAAACAACAAGGGAAATCGATAGATCAAGAAGTTGCCTCACATTCAAATATTAAATTTTGTGTGAAAGAACTTACCAAAACTCGTTTATCTTCTAGAAAATGCTTGATCTTTGAAGGTTCCCACAGTCTAGAACGCCTCTTTCCTCCATCGATCATTTTGCGACCTATGTCTTGGGTCAGATTATGCATTACTACCCTCCCTTCTGAGATACTGACCAAACATTTCTCAACAAGAATATTGATTCCAACACGTGGAAAGAAACCACACCCCTCAAGCAGATACATCACGAAGTCGACTTTTTCCCCTCTGAAAAGACACACAATATCAAGAAATATGTTCTTCTCGTTGAAACTTAGTGACTCATATGTACTCTTGACTGCATCATGAATCTCATGTGGAGGAGATTGCTTGAGCGTGAGGAATGCACTCTCTATATCTTTAGGATTCTTCCTTAACTCTTTTCCAAAAAAAGTCAGTGCTAAAGGATTTCCATGAGCATAATCAGTCACTTTCACTGATAGTTTCTGCAAACTCTCATGTTTATTGTCCTTTCCAAATGCACACCGCGAAAACAGCTGCATAGCCTCTTCCTCATTTAAACTTGGAACCTCATAGATTTGATCCACCCGACAAAGAGGAAATACTTGCTTATCTCTTGAAGTTAATACAATCAAGCTTCCCGGACTAAACCAATCAAACCATCCAAGAAACAACTCTGCATCTAGAGGCTTTCGCACATCATCAAGAACAACAAGAACTCTTTTGCGGCGTAAAACGTTTCTAAGGAGGACTGGTCTCGTAATCGAACTCTTTATACCGTGTTCTTCCCTAAGAATTTTACCGAAATGTTCCTCTAGCAGACCATAAAGCCCCTTGTCACGAAACGCCTTGTGAAAATCTTTGATGAAACAAGAAGCCTCATATTCACCAAACATTTGGTCAAATATAGCTTTAGCAAGTGTTGTCTTGCCTATACCTAGCATACCCCATAGTCCTATGCTACGAACACCCCAAGGTTGCTTGCGAAGCAAGTTTTCTATCGACAACAACTTCGAGTATATCCCAATATATTCAGTGTTATTGAGCTTTTCACGAACATCAGCAACAATCTCTTCGACAAGTTCGGAGTCACTGCGTTTGTTGGGTACAGGATTAGTAAATATATTAGTAGTGGAAGTGAAAGTCTTATAAGTAGAAGAAATGCTGTATACCTTTGCTTATGGTATAACTCGTGGCCTGGTAAATCTGTCGTTGCCAATAAAGAGCTTCGCAAATCGCTTTTATCATCATCGTTCAAATTCCAGATTTGTTTCTTCACGAACGATTTCGTTACAGGATAAAACACCGGGACCACCGCGAGACCGTCGTTACGCCGTCGTTCGGAAACCTTGACGAGGTCCTCTAGGCATGGTTTGGATGACGAGTATTTCTCGGAGAAAACCACCACTGAAGCTCTGGAATTCTCAATCGCTGATTCGCTTAACTTGGAGAATCCATTGGTTTCTGTATCGGAGCCATCGTCTTCTCCGACGAACGAAGATATTCCTCTCCGGTGGAAAGCGGCGGTGAGGTGGCTGATAAAAGAGTACCGCACCGTATCCTCCCATCTGTCGAAGCTGATGTAAACATCCACCATGATTCAGGAGCGTTTGCGGTATCAAAATCAACCTCTCCTCTTTGTTCTTTTTGGCTCTAGATTCTGGTGAATTTGGATGTAGGGGTTTTTCATTTTGGACTTTGATCAAGTCTTAATCTAGTGAATTGGTAAGAGACGTGCCTTGCAATGAAGTTGATTAGAGTGTAGACCGAGTCGTTCTTAAGAAATTCTTTGGAAATTGTGTGTGTTCTGATCGGAGCTGGCAAAGTTCTTCTCGGAAAGTTCGTAATTTTGTTTATTATTATTGGTCCTTTTCACCTTACTCACTGGGCAATGGAAGATGTCAGAGATGAACTAAGCTTTAAGCAAATATCATTGCACAAAGAAAGAGACTTCCTCAACTTGAACTTAGAATAATCCAGAATGATAGATGAGTTGTAGTCTCTTAAACTCGTAGTTTTTTTTTTGATTTTCTGTAGAACTGGTCAAGATTTAGAAAAAATGATGTTTTAGATTGTTTGTGGAAGCATGTCTTGTATCTCAAAAGAGAAGCCAGAAACCATTTGTTTCCTAAACAAACATCAATGGAGGAGGCTTCCTCCTCTACTAAGGTCAAAGCACTCCCGTGGCCGCCACAGCATCAAGTGTTTGTAAACTTCCGGGGAAAAGAGTTGCGGACCAACTTCGTTAGCCATCTAAGAAATGCATTTGTCAGGGATGGGGTTAACATCTTCATAGACACTAATGAGCAGAAAGGCAAACCTTTAAAGGTGCTTTTCGACAGGATTGAAGAGTCGAGGATCGCTTTGGCCATCTTTTCTGAAAGGTATAGCGAGTCAAAATGGTGCTTGAACGAGCTGGTGAAGATGAAGGAATGCATGGAGAAGGGTAAACTTCTTATCATTCCTATCTTCTATAAGGTTAAGCCATATGAAGTGCGATATAAGAAGGGACAGTTCGGTTCTGTTTTCAAAAAAATGAGCAATCTTGATCTTGACGAGAAGAAACAATGGTCTGAAGCTTTGAGCATTGTTGCTGACCGGATCGGCTTCTGCTTAGAGGGAAAGAGGTACCATATCTCCAGTTTCCTGTAATTTAGTTTATCGAGAGGAATGGATTTGAGATTTTATTAGAGTTTGTCCTTCAATAGTCCAAAGGATTTACCTTAGCTTTTTTTCTCTGACTATTTTTGTAGCGATGAAAACAACTTCATCAACAAAATTGTTGAAGAGGTTAAGCAAGCCCTGAGCAAAATTCCGTTGGATGAAACCGAAGAAACTTTTTTCTCATTAGGAAGAGAAAAAGATGAGGTTTATGGACTCAAACAACGGTTAGAAGAATTGGAAGAGAAGTTGGATCTTGATTGTCAAGAGACTCGGTTTTTGGGGGTTGTTGGGATGCCCGGCATTGGTAAAACGACTCTTGCAAGGGAGTTGTATGAAACTTGGCATCCCAAGTTCCTAAGTCACGGGTTAATCCAAGATATTCGTAGAACATCAAAGGAGCTCGGGTTAAATTGCTTGCCTACATTACTCTTGGAAGAGTTACTCGGTGTAAGAAATCCAGACATAGAATCTATTAAATGTGCGTACGAATCTTACAAGAGTCAACTATACGCACATAAAGTTCTTATTGTTCTCGACGATGTGAGTGACAAGGAACAAATAGATGCTCTTCTGGGGAGGCGCGACTGGATTAGGAAGGGAAGTAGGATTGTCATTGCAACAAGCGACAAGTCACTGATCCAAGATATGGTTGACTATATATATGTGGTCCCACAACTGAACCACAATGACGGCTTAGATCACTTTAGGTGTTATGCCTTTGATCATCATTCCAACAAACACAACAATGAAGTCATCATGAAGCTATCAAAAGAGTTTGTGCATTACGCTAGAGGTCATCCACTAGCTCTCAAGTTGTTGGGTGTTGATCTTAAAGGAAAAGATGCGGAACACTGGAAAACAAAATTGGCTACACTTGCACAAAGTTCCAGCTCAAGTATTCGAGATGTGTTGCAAGTAAGTTATGATGAATTGAGTCAAGAGCATAAAGATATATTTCTCGACATAGCTTGTTTTAGATCGGAAGATGAGAGTTATGTTGCAAGTCTGCTGGATTCATCTGAAGCTGCAAGTGAAATAAAAGCTCTGATGAATAAATTCCTGGTTAACATATATGATGGCCGAGTGGAGATGCATGATCTACTATATACGTTCGCCATGGAGCTCAACCGAAGAGCATATGCTCAAAATGGGAAGGAGAGACATAGTTTGTGGCACCATAAAGACATAACGGATGTTCTGAATAACGTAGAGGTACGCTTAAAAACAAGAAACTTTAGCATATATTTTATAAAGTTCTTGAAGACTACTTTCTATCATGAATAAGAGATTTGACAACCATGACTTGTTTATCAGGAAGGTGCAGAAGTCAGAGGATTATTTCTTAATATGAATGAAATGGAGAGGGAGATGAGCTTAGACAGCTGCACCTTCGAACCGATGCACGATCTCCGGTACCTGAAGATCTATAGCTCTCATTGTCCTCAGCAATGCAAATCTAACAATAAGATAAACCTTCCGGATGGACTAAACCTCCCACTTGAAGAGGTTCGATATCTCCACTGGCTAGAGTTTCCATTGAAGGAAATTCCACCAGATTTCAATCCTCATAATCTTGTCGACCTTAAGCTTCCCTACAGCAAGATTGAACGAATCTGGAGTGATGATAAGGTGTGTCTCTCTGCTATAATTTGACTATATGACTAAAATTAACATGACTATGTTTTTTTCACTAGTGGCTAAATCTTGTGTCGTCGTCGCAGGATTCATCAAAGTTGAAGTGGGTCGATCTCAACCATTCACGTAACCTGCGCGTCTTGACAGGGTTATCAAAGGCTCAAAATCTGCAAAGATTGAACCTTGAAGGATGTATAGCAATGGAAACGTTACCCCATGATATGCAGTATATGGAAAGTCTTCTTTTCCTGAATCTTAAAGGGTGCACAAGTCTCAACTCTCTTCCGGATATAAATTTGGTCTCTCTAGAAACTCTCATCCTCAGCAACTGTTCAAGCCTTAAGGAGTTCCGGGTGATCTCACAAAATCTAGAAGCTCTATACTTGGATGGCACTTCAATAAAAGAACTTCCTTTGAATATCAACATACTCCACAGACTTGCCTTATTGAACATGAAAGGATGCACGAAGCTGAAGGAGTTCCCAGATTGTCTCGGTGACTTGAAAGCTCTTAAAGAATTGATACTCTCAGATTGTTCGAAGCTCCAATCTTTTCCAGCAATCGACGAAAGCATCAAGGTTTTATTAGAGATATTACGATTGGATGCTACATCCATAACAGAGATTCCGAAGATATCGTCATTGCAATGTTTATGCTTAAGCAAGAATGATCAGATCAGCTCCCTTCCAGATAACATCAGCCAACTTTCTCAACTAAAGTGGTTGGACTTGAAGTATTGTAAGAGACTTACATCTGTTCCAAAGCTTCCACCAAATCTTCAACGCTTAGATGCACACGGCTGTTACTTACTTAAAACAGTCTCGAATCCATTGGCATGTCTTACGACAACCCAACAGATCTATTCCACATTCATTTTCACGAACTGCAACAAACTCGAAAGGAGTGCAAAGGACGATATCTCTTCCTTTGCTCAAAGGAAATGCCAGCTGCTTTCAAATGCTCTAAATTCCTGCAATGTGGTTTTCACGATCTCTTTCAATTTATATTCCTCTATTTCAGAGACATTTACATTTTAATAAAGTTCCTTGTGTACATCTTTTCAGGTTTCTGATTCGGAGCCATTATTCAGTACTTGCTTTCCTGGAAGTGAACTACCTTCATGGTTCTGTCATGAAGCAGTTGGATCTATATTAGAGCTCAGAATGCCACCACATTGGCACGAAAATAAGCTTGCCTGCCTAGCTCTATGTGCTGTTGTCTCCTCTCCAGGCTCTGAAGAGCAAATCAAATGTTTTTCGGTGAAATGCTCATTCAAAGTAGAAGTAAAAGAAGGGTCGTGGATCGAATTTTCTTTCACAGTCGGAAGTTGGAGTAATCATGGCAATATAGAAGAGAATATTTCATCAGAGCATGTCTTTATTGGATATAACAGTTGTTTGAAGATCTTTAAACGTCTTGAAAACAAAGATTTTAGCAGCTCTAATCCTTCAAAATCCACCCAATCTAGTATATGCAGTCCTACGATGGCCTCCCTTAAGTTTACTGTCATAGATGATAGAAGTGAGATACCAAGACTCGAAGTGCTCAAGTGTGGCTTAAGGTTAGTTTATTGATTAGACCTATTTAAACCGTTTCTTTTTCATGATTTTTTAGAGTTCCTTCTTTATTTAGTATCCATGTTTTCTCCTGTTGCAGGTTTTTTATTGGTGTTGAGAGCAATGGAAATTATTTAAAGAAGTTGGAAATGAAAGAAGCTGAACAAAACCAAAGTGTCGAAAAAGTATTTGAAAATGGGACATGTGAATCAGATAACATATGCACTCATGTTGTCAAGAGTCGTCCAGAACAGAGCCCTGAGACGGTTACTACAGAGGCTTCACCCGAAAAAGCTAACAATGCAGAATATGAAGCCGAGATCATCATAACCCCACGTGAGGTTGCGGCTTCACCCGAAAAAGCTAACAGTGCAGAATCTGAAGCCGAGATCGTCATAACCCCACATGAAACTCAACCACGCCCATGTTCAAAAACTTCGAAATGGGCATGTTTTGCTTGTTGTGACTTCCAAAAACATCCATGAACAAAGGAAGAAAAATGATAGCTCAACACTAGAAGACAGTAGCCAAGAACTTCAAGTGCACATTACAAGATCCCGAAGATTCGGAATTTGAATGTTTATAAGAAGATGAAGATTTCCAAGACTTGGGGAGAATAACTCTCAAATAGGATTTTATCCACCACTCTTCAATTTCTTTGATGGTTTGCTTGTACCCACCAACATGGCAATTTAGTTCATTGGGTCTTAGTTTATTGTACTGTGAACTCGTTTGTGATTTGAATGAATGGGTTTCGTTAGTCTTAGTTTAATGGTGTCTCTTATGTGAAAACTGGACTCAAGCTAGTAACGGTTAACAGAAACATTAAAAAATGTATATTCTTGCCGTTAATCGTTCATGAACACGTTCAATTGGTACAAAAATGTTTCGAAGAGAATGCTAAAAACTGGAAAAGGAAATACAAAACTAAATTTGTTCGT